GCTTTTTTAGCTTTGGTCATGCTATCATATGCTTTATAGCTCGCTCCTGAATATCCACAAACTTGTGTTTTGCAATCATTCCATTCTGTGTAAATTCCAGGTTGTTTTCCTGCAAACACAACATAAACTTTTTCTTCTTTGGGGTTTGCTTTTCTAGCAATTGTCACCCAATCTCCTTGAGCGGGTTGTTTACCCTTATCCATTGTTTCCTCTTGGTCTAGAGGTCTTCTGCAAAAATTAAATTTACTTGTTTAGCAATTTAATTTTCTAAAACAATTTCTGCTAAGAAAATCTGCAAGAAAATTGTTAGTACCTTTAAGATGTTCTACTTCAAAAGTATATTCAGAAATTTTATTATACCAGGCTAATCTTCTTCCTTGTTCAATAGGTTTTTTATTGATCAAGAAATCTCTTACTGCCTTATTATCAGTGCGTACAATAAAATTTTCTGGGGCTAAATAAATATGAAAACTCTTTATTGCCAATTTTATTGCAAGTAATTCTTTTTCGAAAATAATATATTTCTGTTCATTTGGTTTAAATGTTCCAGAATTATATCCACAAATTAACTCTTCTTTTTGTAATTTTATGGGTATTGAATTTTTTCTTGGTCTAATCCCATTTTCTGATAAAGGTATCTCTTTATCATACCATAAATTACTTGGTATTGCTTTAAGAACACATCCCCAGCATGCTTCTGAGGCATCTGTTTCTAAAATTAATTTATCACCTGTTTTAGGAAGATAAACATCCGGTAAAGTTTTAACATTTTCTTTAATTTGTTTAATTAAAGTAACATCTTCTGCTGTCCATTCAAATATAACATTTTTCCTTAATTTGGTTAACCAAGGAATTTCTATTTTTGAAAGATTTTTAATAAAATTTCGTCCATAATTTAAAATGCCTAATAGACTCTGTAATTGTGTTATATTTTCAAGAGTATTAGGAAAATCTCGTACTTTGGACAAAATATGTTCTTGTAATTTTAGGAACACTGAGGCTATAGGGTTTATAACCTGCAAAATTAAATGTTCCCAATACATATGTATATCTTCTTTTTCCTTGGCTAGGAGAAAAAATAATATCATCATTTTCTGTTTGAAAATGATACATATATGCGGACTTAATATGTTCAAGTTTTCTTGTTCCTGGAAAAATAGGAATCTGAACATTGTTTGAAGTAATAGATTCTTTATTAGAATTATTACTTGATTCTCCAATGCTTAACTTTGAAAATGATTTGTTAGTAAAATCTTTTTCAAATACAGAAGTTGATGTTTTAATTTTTGGAACTGTATTTTCAATATATAATTTTTTTCTGATGCCTGCATTTGTAATTGTGCAGGTTTTTTTGTTTTAGAAGATTCTCCTTGTCCCACTAGGTCTTGGATTAACCATTGTCGAGGGACTTCTAAATCGCTCCAATTCATTAGACAAGGTTGTATTATCGTGTCAAATGGTCTTGGTTCAAAGATCTCAACGATTTTATTATCGTTTGATCTTGTTTTTGTTTCAGGAAATTTGGTTAATTCGTGAATTGTTTTCCAACGAATAGCCAAATCATGGGAATTCGATTTCATTCCTAATCCTTGTGTTTTAATTCTTATTCTGACTGTATCTTCAAGATTAGGATCATTTATGGAAATAAATAAATTTGGTCTAACATTAAACCAAACTACTCCATTAGCCAAATTAGACTGAATTCCTCTAATGATTGTTTTCATTGGGTCGGAAAATTTTTTGTCAAAAATTACTGCCAAAATAGGAGTATCTATCCCTTGGCGAAATAAGGCTGCTATGGTTACTTGAATTAATCCAATATGAATATATTGAATTTCAGGATATTTCTTTTTCCATCTTGCAACCTTTTTCTTATCAAAAAAAGGAATATCAATATTTCCTTCTTCTGACCATTTTGCTTGAGTGTTACCACTGTATTGTTCAAACACTCTTGCTGAAAAGAAGTTAAATTTGGAAAGTTTGTAAATTTCTGGAACAGCAACTTCTTGCATTGTTTCAAATTTTGCTAATTCTTCGTCGGTAAAAGTTTTTTCTTCTCCGATTACATCTCCAAATCGAATTGCCTGTAATTCTTCTTGGGATATATTATCTACTTCTTGAGATATTTCTTGACTATTATTAGTCATCATGAAGATTAGTTCTTCATCAAAAAAATTTTCTCCATATATTATTTCAAAATCTTGTTCTTCAAGGACTTTGATCATTTTCTTTGCACTTTTTTCCCTTTTTGGACATTCGGGTGCATAGTGACCTTCTTCGTTACAAATGTAACATTTACAAGTTTTCTTTTTTGAAACACTTGTTGGTTTCTTTTTTCGAATATACTTTTTCTTTTTTGAAAAGGTTTTGTTCTTTTTCTAAGGTTTCCATTTATATTTTCTACGTTTTTTGGAAAAATCCTTTTCTCTTAGGAAATGTACTACAACCAATTTTTCAATTTTCTTTTAAAATTTTATCACAACATTTTTGACCATATGGTGAGTTAGAAATTTGATTTTTTATTTGTTTTTTCGCCTTTGCTTCTAGACACCGATTTGCTATCAGTCTTAGAACATAATTAATGCGCAAACCAAGATTATCATATTCTTCATTCCCCATTTTTTTGAGAAAATCAGGATATGTTTTAATACATAACTCATCCCATGGATTATGGAGTTTATGAAAAAATTGATCTAGCTAGGGTTAATTTGCTAGTGGATCAATAAGATAATAATATTTTTTAAAAGTTTGAACATAATCTTCAAAAAGACAAATATTACATAATTCTAATTTAGTCAAAATCTAATTTGCATCTGCTTGCAAATTAGTATCTCTTGCAAAACCACATAAATTTTCTTTTATGATTTTTGCAAATTCAGCTAAAACTGTGTCAAGTGTGAGAAAATTTGTTAACAAAGCCGTTTTTTGACTTTTTCCAATTTCAGATTTTTCCCACTGTCTTAACCATTGCAACACATCTCTCTGGAGAGTTGCTGCAATATAATCAAGGAATTTTTCCTTTGACCAGCTATTTTTATAGTTGGTAATAATGATGGATAAGGATTGTGCCCAATCATCTATTGCTTGTGGTTGATCCTTAAATGGAACATAAGACAAGTCTAAATAAGTACCATTTTGAGCTATTGGATACTTATGATTATTATCTTTTCTAGATATCACTGGCTCAGGTGTAGGATTGGAGGTACTTCCAATGTTAGTATCATTTTTAACTTCATTTGTTTGAATAAAGTCAAAATTTTCTCCCTTTCCCCATGTGCCAAATAATTCGGGATCAATTAGCTCTTCTGCCTTTCTTTTCCCTTTATTTATTTCTGATGAAATATCTTGATCTATTGATTCTTCAGATGAGGATGATTGGCTGTCATCATCATTATTTGATATATTAATATCATAATTAAAGTGTTGTAAAAGGGTTTCATTTTCTAGATAAGTTTCTTTTATCTAATCTAGTAGCTTATTTCTTTCATCAATACCTAAGTCTGCATCTTTATATAATTTTCTCCAATAATCCAATATTTCAACAATATTTTCATATTCAGTTTTATTATAGGTATTGGTTTGAAGTACCATAATATCTTCTGTACCATAAAATAGTCTAGGGATGTCACTATCTCCTGGACTATTCATTCCATCATTATTTATGAAGGATATAGTTTCTAATTTTGTCACCAAATTGTTTATTTAGTTTTTTGCTTCTTTATTTAAATCAATATTTATTATAGAACCCAAATTGTCTATTTTAGACTCTATAGACTCAACTTTAGTCTCTAGATAATTTTGATTTATTTTTTGATTTTTATCTAATTTAGAAAACCAAGAACACATAATATCAGTAATATTATTTAAATTAGAACACACACTATGTATATTTGCAAACTCTTTAGTAATATGCAAACTATGATCATATTTATTATTAACATTATTTTTTGTATTTCCAAAGCATATTATATCATCAGAATTAATTGCCATTTTAGATTGTTGTTGGTACCTAAGACCCTCTTAGTGTATTATCTGGTGCCTAAAACCTCTCTTTATGATCTTAAAGACTTAATTATGACCAATAGTCAAAAGATCTTAACGAGTATATGGGCTTTGACATAAACTAAGCATATAGGTTTTACAACAACTATAAATGAAACAAATAATTATGAAGATATAAAATACAAAAGATACACAAAAAAAACTTAGACGATTTTTTTTTTTTTTTTTATAACATAAAATACACCATACAAACTTATATATGTATCTAAAATTTATGCATAGATAGAAATACTTACATAGCTTAATCCTGCTTTCAAAAGCTCTTCACCAAGCTCTGATACCAATTACAAAACTAAAAAGGAAACGAGCTTTTTACTATTTTTATAAAGGAATTATGGTGGAATTATGGAATTAACGTAGAGAAATTAGAGACAAAGAAGGAAGCTCAAAGATGGAGAAAATATAGAGAGAATTTACATATCTCATTATGTTGGCATAAAGGCCAATATATAGACTTACAAGAGGGGAATACAAACAAAATATAACTTATTACATATCTAACTTCATATCTAACATATCTAACTTTGTAAGACTTTACGTCTAAAAGTTGCCAATTTTTCTAACTCTTTAGGCAAGCCTAGTCATAAGCATTTTGAAAAATCTTCCTAAAAGTAAATACAAAGAGATAATAAATACAAAAAGACTACAATTATTTACTCTTTGCTACAATTTTTACAATTATATACACTGATACACACTGTCTACTTTACCATATAATGGAATGGTAGGCAAAAATAATCAAAGTACAGTTGATAGATTGATTGACCCAATTAAGTAGAGTTAAGCCCTTTTGATAAGTAATTATTCAAAAAAAAATCAAAAATTTCTTCCTCCTTATTTTACTTTCTTGCATTTTTTTTTTTTTTTTATTGTGAAAGTCAAAGTCTATTTGTAAACCTATTTTTTTTCACCTAATATTTTAACCAAAAAAATCACTAAAAAAAAAAGCCACTTTTCAAGCAGGTCATCAGTTCAATTGGTCATAATTTTTACATCTTTAAGAAATACAAGAGCAGCACCTATTCAAGTGAGTTATATTCCAGAACACAAGATATAGTAATAAACAGACTGCCTACCTAGTTTTACAATACATAAACACAAGATATAGTTACAATCATTAATATAAATTAGCTGAATCCTATAGAACGTGTCTTCAGCACTTCAACCACCTCTAACTGACATAACAACCATTAGTGTTGTTCTCAAAAGCATGGCGAAACAGCTCCAAAGAAACCCGACAACAATAAATATGCAGAGAGGATAGAGGCTGTGTATTCTACAATAAGGTAGTACATATTGGATTTGCAAAGAAATGCTCTTGGCAAATCAACGTTTGTTTTTTGAAGCTTTTCCCGAGAAGACCACTCAGTATGGCAGGGGGATCACTGGATGTAGTCTGATACATCTTCCGCGCAATGATGTAATTATCCATAATCATCAATTTTAAGAGGTTCTTGCTGCTCTGGAAGAGATTTAAATTCAATTATTAGGCATCTTAGCATGTGAAAATGATGGATAACAATAGAAAGCAGCAACTATTTTAGTGTGAAATAAGAAATAATTTATGATCCCTTCATTGTCGTTAATATAGAAACGTACAACCAATCACCCATCTAAGTCTACGGAAAAAAATAATAATAGTAGTGTAAATACAAGGTAAAAAAACATACCTGAGGATTCAATACATTCATTCGTATAAGAATATCATCCTGCAATAAGGAAAAGATTTATTAAAAATTTTAAACCAACATTGGAATGTTTAGAAATTTAGAACAGATCTAATTCCTTTGCAATATTTCTAAAAGGGAAGACAGAAGGTTGGAAAATCTAAATGTTCGGATCCTAACTTCACTGATTTTTATTTGAGTGCTGCTATTAGCACCTACCAAAATTCTTTGGACCCCCTATTTTATAATTTTTTTTACCTAAAGTAAAATTACATTAAAAGACATTATTAAATGGAACACCCACCTATCAATAAGAACTAATACTCTATAATATTGGACACTCACCCACACCCACCTCTAACTCCAACTATACGTATTCCATGTTTGTAAACCCTAAACCTATTACTTTTCATAACCAACTAATATAAGCCCTAAATCTATTATTTTTCTTAATCATCTTAAATCCTGAATCTGTCATTTTCATCACCATCATTAACGCTATTGAACTTGAAAGTTTTGCTTCAAGTATAACGTATACTTCATCACTTATTTTGCTGTGTAGAGCAATGGAGGATGAGGACAACAATTCTAGTGAGACCGGCGTTCCATTAATAAGTTTATGTGTCTTGTATTAATATTCTCGGTCGTTCTCGGTTGTTCTTGTTTCGTTCGAGCTGTTCGGTACTGGTTTGCTGACTGTTAGAATTATGTTCGGTAATACAGTACTGAACATAATCCTTTCGTTTAATACATAGGTTCCGAACATTAATGCAGATAGTCAGTTATGTAATTTTCTTTGTTAAACTAACTTAGAATGGAAAAGAGTGAATTGGAATGGATTTAAGTTATGTATTTTGAATGGATTTAATTCATGTTATTTTAAGTTGTGAATTGGAATGGATTCAAGTTACACAGTGATAAACAAATTTTGTTCGGACATACAGTGCTGACAGGATCATTATTGTTCGACAAAACAGTTCTGAACAAAATACATTTTTTCGGCTACACAGTGGTGAACAAATTCAAAATCATCACTCGAATCTGCTGATCTCCTATTGAGATTCTTGAATTCAGGGCATTTAGATGAAAGCTTTAATCTGATTCTTCTGGCTTGTCTCCAAAAACCCAGATGTAAAAATTGAGATTCTCAAAGAAATCAATGAGAAATCCGAAGCCCCGATCTACGAAGAAGTGAAAGACATGGTTTACACACACGCGTCGCTGAGCGAGACCAGGAGACTCTACCCATCCATCCCCATTGACGGAAAGTAAGCTTTAAAGAACGACGTGTTGCCGGATGGGACAGTAGTGAAGAAGGGTATGAGAGTGAATTACCATCCTTACGCAATGGGGAGGTCGGAGGAACTATACTAGAACAAAGCTCCAAACTCTGAAGATTGAGTGAGTCAGGGAAGGAGAGGGATGAAAAATTAGGTGGGTGTGCATTTCATTGTGAAAATATTATGGTTTAGGGTTGGGGTCCAAAAAAATGGGAGGTCCAAGAAATTTTGGTAGGTGCTAATAGCAGCCCTCTTTTATTTTTATAACCAATTTCTAATTTTGTATGATTTATTGGTCTCAAAGTACACTAATTAAGGCTAAGAATAAAAGTAAACATTGGATATTACCACTGGTCACACCTATCCACCATGGAAAGACAGTAAACTTATAGTTAGCACAACAATATTGAACCCACTCCTACATGATTTTGTAATGCTAACTAACAGGTACATTTTAAAAGCAGAAGCAGAAGAAGAAGAAGAAGAAGAAGAAGAAGAAGAAGAAGGAGATGATGATGAAGCAGAGAAAGCCTGATCATAAAATTTTAACCTTCAACAATCTGTCAACATTTATCAATCAAGAAGACCAAGGAAAGTCACAGCTACACCATAAAAACACAACATTGAAAAACAACTTTGTGTTTTCAAGCATTAGAAAAACAAAACAAATTAAATTTAGGGGAAATAACATTGCAGCATAGAAGACCAAAACTGTTTACAAATAGGTGGGGATGGCACACTAAAAACTTGAACCAAAAAAGATTCCCACCCATGTGTAAATCTTTTCCCCATTTCCCACCGACATGATATTTCCCCTTAAATTTAAGCTACTGGAAAAATTCTTATTGCAGCCTCTAGTTACTAGCAGCAGCATCACCAAAAAGCAGAATGCTTCTTAAATTCAAAGTAATTTGAACATTTGCAAAATGACTGTCAATAGATTCAATACTAGAAGTTCCTATAATTTTATGACTAATAAACAATTGCAAGTTATGATAAAATCTCTAAGTTTCTCATTTACGTTACTCTCATTTTCTCTTTTGGTATGTTGTTACCTATTACTGAAGGCCAAACAAAAAAATTGTACTTGGACACACCAAAAGCTTATATGAGAAGAATTTTACCTCTAATATCCCCGGATTTTGAATCACAATGCCAAGAACACGGCGTACAAGTCCCTTGTAAACAATCTTGTTGATCGTACCATCTCCATTTACCCAAGGTAATATTGGCCTGACTAACAAGTCCGTTTCACTAGAGGTATGGAAAACCTCTTCAGGAAGATTTAGAATAGTGACCTTGTGCACCTCATCAGCGTTCGTGCTTGAATCCTTTGGTGTATTAGCACCATCATCATCAGGATTTTCTGACCTTTGGTTCAAATGCCCATCATCAATTTTGGAGATTGGTAAAGCCACCTCAACATCTTCATTAAGGGTGGCCTTTGAGGTCAAAAAATACTTGGACCGGTATAACGAATCAACAACATGGACAGAATCATAAGCATTGACCTGTATTATGAGAACAAATAGATTAGAATCAAGCTCAAATGTTTACACACAAATGTTAACTCATAAAAGTCGTTGATGGAATAGAAACATAGGTTTAGACTTCTCAAGGACAAAATGTGTGTTAGGCTAGCTACTTAGACTGCATAACAGATGACAATCCAAATCAATTTGAAACACAAATCCCATGAGGACTTCCAAACCTCTTCTCCTCCTATTTACCTAAACAACCAAATCACCACCTTCTGAGAAGAACTCAAAATAACCTTGCTGAAATCATTTCCAATACTGGTCAAGTCATGGGCTCATCAATATTTATCAACAAAAAAAAAAAGAAAAGTCATGGGGTTCGTTTGGTTTGTATTTCTGAAAACTTTTTGGGAAATTTTCTCTACAAATAAGTTTTTAAAAGTAATCAAACCAAACAAATTTTCCCAAAAAAATTTCTCAAAACTTGTAAACCAAATAAGTTTTCCAAACAAATCTCTCTCACACACACATCAAATCAATCACTTTTTCCAAAACTCTTTCTCAAAATAATTTTCCAAAACATCTTTTGAAAAAAACCAAACCAAACAACTTTTCGTACTTTTTATCTCTAAAACACATCTCTCAAACACAAACCAAACATACCCATGGTGTCATCAACAAAACGTGTGGACAGCTTGTGCGTATAAGAGTTGGCAGCTATGGCTAAACATGGTTCTGGTGAACTAACTTGCATCAGGATGATAAGAAAACAAAAAGAACATATTCAGCTTGAGAGCTGCCATCCAAAGGGACATCAGATGGGAGGTTACCCGCTAATGTGTGTGCTATGTACCACAGTACAGGAAACACATTACACTAGCACTTGCAAATCCAGAAGCTTATGAAAACAAAATAATTACAAATTACTATAATAAAATAAAACTTAGTATAACTAACCTTTAAAGCACGCCCAAATGCTTCAAGTACTCCAACAATAAGTTCTGGCATATTTTTCCCTGAAAACAAACACCAAGATACAATCAATATGAAGGAACTCAAGATAAAAATAAGATCTTTCCTAAAGTTGAAAGCAAAGACACACATGATACAGACACAAACATGCCCACGAAGAAAATACACTGCACACCTTGCATATTCACGACCTGGGAGAGTTCTTCCATGCTCAAACCTTGGTCACCTGCCTTTTGAATGGCAGAGTAAGCATCCCTAAAGAGCTCAGGATTAAAAGGACTTGCTGCTTGTTGATTAGTTGATAAAGACATCAGATGTTCAACATAGCTTGTCATCGTTTCCCACTCTGACTCACTGGCAGCAACTGCCATAGGAATGTTGCTCCCCTCATCAAGGATTTCCTTGACATGGTCAGAAGGAAATGCAGTGCCACCAATATTTATGCTTGAAGATGTATTGACTTGATCATTTTCACCACAAACTAGTGTAGCATCAAGGATATCACCATCTTTGAAAAATTCTATGGCATCAATTCGTGAAATTATGGCACGACTTACAGATAACCTAATACCGGGAAAACCTTTTTCACGACGAGAAATAATCTCACCATCTCCGGCCAACGAAGACTTCAGTTGTTTCCCTTTGTCACCAATGCGAACTTCATTACTATCAGATTTACGTTTCAAAGTTCTCGAATCTTCAGCCTCTCCAACACCTTCATCTGGTAAGTATGGTGAAATTAACAACTCTCCAGAAAAAACTAGGGCAAACAAATGGAAAATGTCCCCACACTGCAAATCCGCAGTGAGATCAGTCCCCTCTTCCATCAGATCTTTTTCTTTTTCATGGAGCCAGCTATCAAACTTATCAGCCCGTTTTCCAGTATTAATTGGAAAGGGAGATGAAGAAATACTTTGCAGGAACTGTGGAGAAAGTACAAAGGGATTATCTCCAATACCTCCAACCTGCCCAAGATAGAAAGTACAAACGTAAGAGAGCAAAACACATGTAGAAAGCATTTATATTAGGTTGATAGAATTGCCAAGAAAATATCTACAGGTGAATCGTGAATGAAGTAATTAACTGAAACTATGAGAGGGAGAGGGGGAAAGAGAGAGAGAGAGAGAGATGAGTGATGCTCAAGATTTAACCCTAAAAGTGAGCTCGAGTCACCATTCAACAAATAACCCTTTCAACCATGATATCTCATTCAAACCTTAACTAGAATGAAAAAAATTCCACACATTATTTTAATTTACTGATCTTTGTTTTGGTGGAGGCAAATACATAAGATATATGAACCATATAGGTCATGAATAAACCAATCAAATTACCTCATGTTTACAAGAACTTAGAAATAGGAAAACTAAAAAAGTAAAATGGAAATTAAAAATCTTTTTGCTGTATATTCATTTCTTTATTCAAATTTGGAGAATGTCCAATGCTTAAGACTGATACCCAAATGCAAACCCCATCACAAACCCAGCAGTATATCAAAGAATTGGATGAACAGAATTTTACCATAATTTTCTTCTCTCTAAGATAGTTAAAGGCAGCAAAAAGATCATGCTCAGAATAGCGCCGTAATGTTTCCGCAAGCAACTTTGGCACCTCTGGAGCTGTTGAGGTGCTCAGGAAGACAAGCTTAAATAGCTCTGCCGCATTGGAAACTGCTAATGATTCATGTGCCCTTCTACTAACACCAATCCCTTCATTCAAAAGCTTACTATACTTTCGAGGAAGGCGATGACGCCTTGATATCTGAGGATAAAATTTATTCCCACCACCATGGTTGTGAATTTCCTCATTAGGAATGAGAGATGGAACTAGTTCAGTTCCCGAGGGATTCTGCATATGGAAAGATTAACAATTTAAAAATATTAAACCAACATCATCAAATCCTCAAATGCATGAAACTAAATTCTGATGATGATGCATCAGCAGATACCTAGAGCCACATTACAGAGAGATACTGCGATACTACAGAATATAATGAAAAAATGAACATAACAACAACCTCAGATGTATGTCCAACCACAATTGATGACATCTGAATTAAAAGAGATGACTCCTATAAATGAACTATGAAACCATGAGAGACAATAGAGATTATCTTTCACCAATGAAATGTATAAAATCTCCCAAGTCATCTCCCATCTAAATAAAATGAACAAAATCAAACCAGTAAATACTTGAACTGTAGCTCCCCAAACACCGAGCTTGCTGATTGACTTACTCAAGCCTCACTGAAGTCATGACAGAAACAAATCACCATGCATGATTTTATTTATTTATTTTTATCGGCAACAATAGAAAGAGAAAATTATTAATAAAGAAAAGGATTACAAGAAAGCCGGGGGACAATAAGTTCTCCAAAAAGGAAAAAAAAAAAAAAGTAAGCAAAGCCTCAAGCTGTCACATATTGCCCTGCAATCACTTTGATTTCACACAAAAAAAGTGGGATTCCCTCAAAAAGAAAGGACAATAAATGATAATTGACCCATAGTTCAACTGTAAAAGGAATTTGTGACTTACATGTCCTTCAGCATCTAAATATGACCATTCCTCTGCTCCAGAACCACCTCTTTTAGATGCATCCAGTTTAGCCATCCATTTGCAACGGATAACCTCATCAAGGGCTTTCTTAATATTTTCATCATTAAAATCGTCCCACCTTTCCTCAAAACCCAACTCTTCATTACGTTCAACACTACTAGAGAAATTCTTGTGACAATCTTTCCCAAACAAGGAATCCCGAACTATCACGCTGTAATCACCATGGTTTAACGATTTGTTTTGCAATCTTTCAAGATGTTTGGCATATCGTTCGCTAAGCATGTTACAAAGTCTCATCACAGAACTTCTAAACTTTGAATCACTGTTCAGTAATGCCATTCTTCTTCTGCAGGCATCAGGAGGCGCTGGAAGATCCAGAAGTGAAGACCAATCTGTGCGGTGAAATTTTGCCCCAAGAGCAGCACGATATCTTACGTACTCCATCACCAATTGCCTGAGAGATGAAATCATTTATGTGAAACATAGGGCTAAAAACATACTTCATACAAAGAATTCAGATTGTAAAAAGAACTGAACGTATTGTCAAGTAGACCACAGACATTCCAAATGTAACACCCCAGATTTACATGTCTCATTATGTCTACGGATCGTTATACTTTTCATGTATTATCCTGCTAATAAATATAGGAATTTTTTAGTAAAATTTGAACATGTGTTGTTTCACTTGGTTTAAAAATCTTCTTACATTGGTGTGCATCCTTCAACAAAATTCACAAAAATGTGCATGTGTGAATATTTGAATTTTAATGCTCTTATGGAAGTTGGAATTAACATATGAAATTTTAGAGAATAAAGTATGGAGTCCACACGGATAAGATTGTTAAAATGAGTTAGAATATTTCCTATTTTATTCTTATGTATATTCAATATCCTTATTTTATGCCTTAGGACACTCCTGTAATTATGGTGATGATTTAATATAAAAGGGGATGAGATATCACTCATACCTCTAACCTTTTTTCTCCTCAAAATTGACATGGTATCAGAGCCATTCTAAAACCCTAGAAACCAGAACCCACCAACCACCATCACACCACCACACCAGCCGCCGACCCCCTAGGGTTCCGCCAGCACCAGTCGTAGCCTTGTAGGGCTCCAACAGTCCTCACCTCAGCCTCCTAGGGCTTCGACAGCACCTTAGGGCTCGTCAGAGCTTCCTTTTTTCCGTGCCCAGGCTTGTCGGCAGGCTTTGAGGTGGGATCGGGGGTGTTTTTCTCCCTCTGCAGACTGTCGATAGTCTCTCAGGAGCTCTGGTTCAATCGGCGATCACCTCGTTGTCTGTCTTCTCTCCGGTTCAGTCGTCTCTCTCTTGGTCTGGTTGCATTAACGTCATTAATTTGTGTCCTTGGTGCTTAGTCTGTTTATTCATGTAATTCTCTACTTATTCTGTTTTCTGTCTTCTTCTTCTTCCAAAAAAAAAAAAAAAAAAAGAGGTAAAAAAAAATGTTCTCTAAAATTCTTTTTGTTCTGTTTGGTATGTTCTCCCATCTTCTGGGTTTGTGATTAGATTGGTGTTTGTTGTGAGGGTTTCTTAGTAGAGTATTCATGGCGGAATTGACTAGTAAATCTACTACTATGACTGATTCCCTCAATACTGGCCAAAAAATCACCACCTCTCTCTTTAATAGTCAGAATTATTTAACGTGGTCGCAGAGTTTGACTATTTTTTTGAAGAGCAAAAGGAAGCTGGGATATGTTAATGGGCGCATTCAGGCCCCCAATACCACAAATTTGGGTTATGATCAGTGGAAGATTACCAATTCTCTTATCATGGGCTAGTTGATTCATTCTATGGTTCCAGAGATTGGTGAGGGATACGTGTCTATGGACACAGTACAAGATATTTGGGAGGCTGTGGCCACTACGTATTCCCGCAAAGGCAATTTTTCACAGACTTTTGAGTTGTGACACTCCATTGACCAGTCCGTCCAGGGTGAGATGACTATCCTCCAGTATTTTACTTTCCTTAGCAATGGGTGGAAGAGACTTGATCATCTTCAGGACTACAAGCCTGTCTGTCCCACTGATTCTGCTGGGTATTGAAAATTTGTTGAGCAAGTGCAGGTCTTCAAGTGTTTGGAAGGTCTAAATGTGGAGTTTGATCATGTTAGGAGTCGTGTGCTTAGTATGGATGTATTTCCTTCTCTCCAAGAAGTGTTTGCTTATGTGCAGAATAAGGAGAGTCATCGCTTTGCTATACTTCCGTTTGTCTCTTCTGATCGATCTGCCTTAGTTTCTGCACCCTCTCGAGATGGGGATCGTGGTTCTCGTTCTCCTTCTGAGAAGGATACCCTCTTCTGTAATTATTGTCGTCACCCTCGCCACACCCTTGAGACTTGTTGGAAGTTGCATGGGCCGCCATCTGGGGGTCGTGGCGATCGTTCTGGTTCTTGAGGGGGTCGTTTTGGTCCGTTTAGAGGCCGAGAGCCCAATGCCCGAGCCCATCATTCAGATACAGTTGAGCCACAATCCCCCGCTCCAATTATTTCCTCTGCCGATATCTCTGGGTTTTCTACTTCTGAGTTGAAGATTGCTCTTCGCCACTTGCTAGACCGTCTGGCATCTAATTCATCTTCAGGTAACTTTGCCCATTCAAGTGACTTAGCTTCTTCTACCAGTGCTTTCCTATCTCATCAAACATTGCCTTGGATTATCGATTCTGGTGCTTCTGACCATATGTCTGGGTCTTCTGATTTGTTCTCCGTATATACCCTTTCTTCAGGACAGGATAAAGTTCGAATTACTGATGGTACCATTTCTTCTGTGTCTGGGAAATGTTTAATTCGTGCTACTATTCCCTTTCTTTGTCTTCTGTATTACATGCTCCCAATTTTAGTGTTAATCTTTTATCTTTGAGTCGTATTACTCGGGACTTAAATTGTAGTGTGACATTTTTCCTGATCATTGTCTGTTTCAAGACCTTATCACGAGGGCGATGATTGGCATTGGTGGACACAAGAATGGTCTCTATATCCTGGATCAAGCAGACAAGCTAGCTCATTCATCCATTCAGTTACCATCTACCGAAGCAGACCTATGGCTGTGGCACCGTCGTCATGGGCATCCATCTTTTTTGTTACTTACGCATTTTTTTCCTTCAGTTTGTTTGAAAAATAATGTTTCTAAGTTTCACTGTGAGTCGTGTCAACTTGGAAAACGCCACAGAGCATCTTTTACTCCTATTAGTAAAAGTTTAATTCATTTTTCATTGATTCATTCTGATGTATGGGGTCCCTCTCGTTTTGTGTCTTTAAAGGGTCAACGATTGTTTGTCACATTTATTGATGATTGTTCTAAGACCACCTGGGTGTATCTTATGAAGGACAAATGTGAGATTTTTTCTGTATTTCAAAATTTTCATAAAATGATTTGCACTCAATTTAGGGCGGTTGTCAAAACTCTACATTCTGATAATGGGGGAGAATACATTGACTCTGGCCTTACCAGCTATTTTGCCACTCATGGTATAATTCATCAAACTTTTTATACCAATACCTCTCAACAGAATGGTGTTGCAGAGCGTAAAAACCGCCATCCTCTTGATATTGCGCGTTGTCTGTCCTTTGAAATTCGTGTTCCTAGATCATATTGGGGGGGAAGCTATTCTCACTGTAGCCTTCCTCATCAATCGTCTGCCTACCTAAGTTCTCAAAAAATACACTCCTTTTCGAGTTTTGTTATGGTCCCACTTTTCTGGTTTCTCCATTCCTCCCAAAACCTTTGGGTGTGTGCTTTGTTCATAACCATTCTTCTACCTGTGGTAAGATGGCTCCTAGGTCTCTTCGATGTGCCTTCCTAGGTTACTCTGCTGCCCAAAAGGGCTACAAGTGTTATCATCCCCCTTCTCAGAAATAGTTTCTCTATGGATGTGTCTTTCTTTTAGTCTCAGTCCTACTTTCTATCCACCCTAGTGTCCCAGTCATCCCTTCAGGGGAAGTCTTGGTGTCAAGCGATTCCTGTTAAAATATAGAATGTTATAATATAGAAACATTTCCTATTTCATTTTTTTGTATATTTAGTATCTTTATTTATGCCTTAGAATACTCCTGTAATTATGCCAATGAGTTAACATAAAAGAGGGTGAGATATCACTCATACCTCTAACTTTTCTCTTCTCTAAATTTGCATGGTATCAGAGCCACAATAAGAGGAACCTACCACCTTGTCTGAGTTCGTCGCACCCCACCCAACGCAGCCGAAGGTCAGGCGACTCTCCTATGGCAGTCGCAGCCTCTGTTGACAGCCTTAGCTTGCTTCTCTAGGCCTGTCGGAAGCACTTGGTTGGTTGCCTAGTGTCGTCATGGTCACCTGGTTGGTCGCCTAGTGCTGGTTGATCGATTGGTGCTTTTCTGGCCCTCTGGTTGGTCGTCGGGTTTTGTCTTCTTTCTTTCTTCTCTCTTTATTCTCTGTTTGTCCTTGTTTTCTTCAAAAAGAACAACACCACACACATACACACCAAAATAAAAAACCAAAATCTTAATTTTATGATTTTCTAGTTTCTATTGTGCTTGTTCCTCCACCATCTTCCGAGTTTATAATTGGCCTTGAGTTTGAGGGTTGCTTAGTAGAATATTCATGGCAGATTGCACTAGTGAGAGTCAACAACTTCTCAACTGCTTAAGAGCAAGAATTCCGTTATACCTTCTACTATGACTGATAATCTTAACCCTAGCCTTAAAATCACCACTTCTGTAGTCAATGGTTAGAACTATCTAGCGTGGTCACAGAATCGAACTTTTTTCTTGAAGAGCAGAGGGAAGATGGGCTATGTCAATGGCAGGATACAGGCACCCACCACTACGGACCCAAGTTATGATCAATGGGAGATCACCAACTCCCTCATTATGGGTTGGTTGATACATTCTATGGTCCCAAAAATCGGAGAGGGCTATCTCTCTATAGACACTGCACAGGATATTTGGGAGGCAGTGACTACCACTTACTCCCGGAAGGGGAACTTCTCCCAGACTTTTGAGTTGCATCGCTCCATTGAAAGGTCGGTACAAGGTGAGATGACTATCCTTTAGCATTTTACCTTCCTTAACAATAGGTGGAAGCGACTTGATCACCTTCAAGATTACAAACCTGTCTGTCCCACTAATTCTGTTGCTTACCGGAAGTGAGCGAGTCTTCAAGTTCTTGGAAGGTCTAAATTTGGAATATGATCCGGTTCCGAGCAGAGTACTTGGTATGGATGTGCTTCCTTCTCTTCAAGAAGCCTTTGCTTTTATGCAAAATGAGGAGAGTTGTCGTTCTACTATGCGTCCGGCTACCTCTTCTAACCAATCTGCCCTGGTTTCTGCACCCTCTAGAGATGGGGATCGTGGCTCCCGTCCTCCTTCTGAGAAGGATACGCTCTTTTGTGACTACTGTCGTCGCCCTCGCTATACCTGTGAGACTTGTTGGAAGTTCCATGGGCCGCCATCTGGGGGT